GCCAGGTGCCGCTCGGGACTGACGGGCGCAGGCAGAGGGAAAATGCAGCTAAGCCCTTGACGCTCCGGCCAGGCTCGTCCCATCTCGAGTGGCACACAGCTCCGCCGCCGCTTCTGCTGGCCAGTGCCGACTTGGCCGGGCTCCTCCCATCCCCAGTAGCATGTGGGAAGCCAGCTTCAGCTGCATGTTGCTCCGGATGGGACAGACCCACCTGGGTCAGCACCAGCCAGCAGAAGTGGCAGTGGAGCCGTGTGCCGCTTGGGACTGACCAGCGCAGGTAGGGGGAAAGTGCAGCTGAGCCCCTGCTCCTCTTGCTGGGCTCATCCTGAGGTTCATTTCATGTTTGTAAAATGCTTGGAGAACCCCACATAAATGCACTGCATAGAAATGCAAAATATATTTTGACTTATTTGGTTGGCACCTTGGGCTGAGATTCTCAAGGCTGAGTCAAAAGGCCAACTTCCATTAAAATGAATGGGATTTAAAGGGCTCCAAAACTTTTATGACAACTTTGTAACATGCCTATCTACCCCTTTTTGCAAATCTCAGCCATAGTTTGGAAGCTCAGCCAAAGAACATAAGAGCATAAAAAGTGCCATGCTTGGTCAGCCCCACAGTCCATCTAGCTCAGTATCCTGTCCTGAACAGTGGCAGAGGTGGATGCTATAGAGGGAGAGTGTTGAACTGGTTTAGACCCATTTCATTGTCACTTCCTGCAACTTCATTGGTGTCAAAGGTCACGTGACATCACTTCCTGATGTGATACCACTTCCTGTGAGGTCTTTGAATATGGCTCGCTGGGTGATAAAAAGTTCATGATCTGGCCCCACATTAAAAAAGGTTGGACACCCCTGGTATAGTTTAAGTTAAAGGTAACATTGTTTTGATCCATATCGCCTTCTGAAATTGAACCCTTTACCTTGATGTGCATATATCTAAGATATAGTTTCTTTCAACTAGCTGGTAAAAACTATTAATGCTCTAAGCAACAAAATGTATAATGTGCTTGCTCTATTACTGTTAGGTCTCCAGGATTATGAAGCTGCTCTCAAAATTGATCCTACAAATGAGCTTGTAGCACAAGATGCCGAGAAGATTCGGCATATAATTCAAGGAACTCAACGACAACAAGATTCTTAAGCAAACCATCATACTGATTCCAGACTTTATTATTAAGCAGGACTAAGGAAAAATGGTGATTCAAATTCTGCCTGAGCCAGCGAAGGCAGAAACTGCTTTGTTGCTATATTTATCCCAATGATAAGACTGGGTAAAAAACAGGTACACTTCATAAGAGTTGTTATACATTTAGTAAATATAGCAATAAGAGAAATGATAACATGCATTTAATTTTTCTTACCCATTTTCCAGTTCTGTATTTGTTTCCCTTTATGTTCTGTTATTCAGGTCAGACAATATTTCATAGTTTTCTGTAGTTAATTTTACACATATAGCTAACTAAATTAGGTATCTGTTGGGAAATTTCTAGCATGGGTAAAACAACTTCTGTAGTTATTCTTGGTCAGCATTGTTACCTGTGTTTATAGGAATGTGCTAATGTAAATAGAGTCATTAGCAAACTTATAAAATGAGAAACTTTCTAGTGAAAAATATTTTTCATAGGACTGGAAATTTGTTTTCACATTGTATATAAGATTACAAAAAAATTAAAAACATGCTATTAAAAAATGTTTTCTGACTTGGGTGCTGTGAAGTTAAGCCACAAAATAAATTACCTGAATTTTTACAGCTGTCAAGCATTTGTATCTCCTACTAACATTGTCAGCGTGCCTGTCCTGGGTACCTGTTTCTCTTGTAGCTCCCCCAATTCCCACCTGCCACGACTTGATCTAAATGCAAATTTGGAGGGGGAGGAAGAGGTGTTAGACACCAACACCGCGGTAAGGAACACGCTGGCCAGATCTTAGTCCAGAGTGCTTTATTATTATTAGCCTGTGATGCTCTCTCTCTCTCGGAACATTAGTCAACAAGGAGATTGCCACGTGGGTCCTTGCTGTCTGTCTCCACCGGTAAGGACTACTGGTTAATTGGATGATCAGCCGCTAATTGCCTTGTTAGCAGCTGATTAACACCGACACCGGAATTCCCCGGCTGCGGCGCGTGCCGGCATGCGAAGCACGGCTTAGTCGGTTTCACTTTCTCTCCTCTCAGTCTCCCTTCACCGTCCGGTGAGGGATCGGGGTTACTGTGTCTGCACGGCAGGATCGGGTGCTCCCTCACCCTCTCTCTCTCTCTCTCTCTCTCCTCTTCTCGGAGAGGGGGGTGTATCGATTTCCCCCCCCCCAAATCCCTTCGTTGTCGAGGAGTGCGTCCCTGTCTCCTGGACTCTCTCAGGATTCCTCGCTGCAGGCCTCTCTCTCGTTCCTCTCAATGGGTAAGTGTCCAAAGGCAACCTTGGGAAGTTTCCTCCCCCTCTTTATTTCTCTTTCCTGGGTCCTCATTGGCTGCCTGGGGGATTACATTTCCCATTTCCCGGATGTTCTCATCTCCGGCAGCTGCTACCCCATCTTAGTAACGGAGTCGCAGCTGCGATGCTGTTACAAACATCAATAAGATTTTGTTTAGTGTTTTGCATCCCTGAAAATCCGGTCATCTGTTTGGGTGCATGAGTTCAGGCATCCCATTTAAAAATCCTTGCTCTGGGGTATTAATGTAGTCCTTATAAAAGCAATATATTTTTTTAATGTTAAGTAACATGCATTACATGTCTCTAACCCATTTAAAAAGCTTTGTCATTTGTTAATTGACTTGACCAAAAATATCTGATATGGTTTTAATTTTAATGGAAATAATGTTATTTTAAATGGAAAAAAAGCAAGTTGCTGTTTAAATATATCTGTATAGCTTGTAATTTTATTATAGTGTTAAATTCTATGATGATCTTTATGATGAACTATTTGAGGAAATCAGAGTCCTAGATCCTGGCCCAAATTATTCCCTAATATAAATGCAGCTTTATACATTACTAATTTGAGGGCAAGCAGAAATGTATTGATTTTATTGGCAAGCATTCAGACAAGTTACATTTTGTAAGTAAAAAATGGGGAACTGGCTAAGGAAAAAGGATTGGTGACAAAGGCTTTAAAGTTAACAGTTAAAAAGTTGGGTAGCTACTGGTTCACATATATTTTTCCATCATCCCACAGTTAGTAGTCTTGCAGTAAAATATCTACCATGGTTCCATTGCATCAGGATTCCTATGTGGACATACCAGTTTTTTGAGGGTTCTTTTGTCTTTTTTGGCTTGGAGCTAGTCACTGTGATATTCTTTCATTGGACACTGTTCAGGGGAAACTGGATCTTACAAAAGGTTTTGAAAAAGTATACTGTGGTCAAGCTAGAAGTGTTTCATTGGGAGGCTCACAAACCTATAATGAGCAAAGCACTCACTATAACAAAAGAGAGGTCGTCAATGGTGAGCACATGTTGGTCATCAACACCTTGGTAAAGTAGGAGGAGTTTGAGTTAAATGTTTATCTTTACTTGAAATAATTCAGGAAAACACTTCATTTATGTGGTGAAGTCCTGGCCCCACTGGAATAGAAGAGACTTCTGCCCCTGGTTATATATATTTTGTTTTAATGGAGCCAGAATTGTGTATGTGGATTTCCAGACCTAAGTAAATGTGTTTCTCACCTCCTGACAATTTTGCCTGGTGAAACCAATATCTGTCTGTTAGCCAGTGGATTAGTAGAGCATGTTTTTAAAAAGAAATCCAATTTGGAAGAAAATAACTTTAAAATGCTACATTATTGCAAAGGAGTTCTTGTGGAAACTGTTAAGATCTCTCTTTGGGTACTAGTCTCATTTTGGGTTTGTACATGAAGTTTCCATTGTGATCAAGAGGAGATACACATGCATATCTCAGGGGAGGAATTGGCTCCCCCTATGGGCAGATTCAGATTTGTGGTGATGGGGATGCAGCCACCTTCCTTTGGGAGATGTGGCCATGTGCAGTGAAAAAAGCTCACTATACATGTACCACACTGTTATCGGTGTGTGGCTGCAGCCCCTCCCTGTGACCCTGGATGCTAGTGAACTTAGAGTTTGCTGGCATATCACCAGGGGTTCTTCTGGGAACTCTGTATATGTTGTGAACTCTATGAATTGACTGGATAGCTGGCAGGGTCTGACCAGTCTCCCTGCATTCAAGCAGCTCTGGAGCCTGCTGCTGTTTGCTCTTTTTTGTCCTCACACCTCACAACAAGTTAAGCAGCAAGGGAAAGGAGGAAAGGGGACAAGGAGCAGTGGCATAGCACCTCTGGAGCTGCATCAAAGCAGAGGCTGCTGGCTGCTCCTCCCCTCCTTTCACATGCTGCATTCAAGGTGTGGGGGAGCAAACTGTTCCGGAGCTGCTTGAAAGCAGGGACTCTGGGCAGACCAACTAGCGAAATTATGGAACCTACAAAACGTGTGGAGCTCCACTGCTATTCGTGAATTTCAAGAGCTCACTGCACATGCCGTGCACAGGAAAAGGGGGTTGCTACTGTGCCACCATACCCACTCTGGATCCACCCCTCCTTCCACCCTCTAATATGAATATGGCTGCTACCATGGCACTGACATGTTTGCTTAAAATCTGTGTGTAGATAAGAGTACTGATAATCTAGTGGCAACATATATACTTTTCTTGTTACTTTTCTTCCTTGGTGTCTATCCTGAAGCCTCAAGAGCAACCTTTAAGAAAATTTGTACTTTGATTATACACATAAGTACTCTTTTAAGCAATTTTCTATAATTTTAAGATCATTTCTGTATGAGAGGATGCAGAGATGCTACTTCTCACTTCTCTCTTGAAGGTGCCTGTGATGCATGCTTGACTTTATTTTGAGTTGCTAATTTACGTACCACATACCAGATCACAAGTAATCTACCAAAGACCTTATTTCTTTGTTATACGTGGCTGTGAAACAGTGGTAAATAACCTTTCTTGACTGCTTAATACTCAGCTAAGTGGCAACAGTTTTGAATTTTTGCGCTTGATAAATTTAGTGTTGGGGAACAGATGCGAGAAGGCCCAACCTGTCCTTAAATCCACCTCTGGAGCTGCTGGCCATGGAGCAGATGGTTCTGTCTTAAAGGATGGTGAAGCAGGTGTTGGTAGGATAAATAGTACCTCCCAGCATTCCTTGTGTCTATCATCTCTAATGAAGTGCTGTGAGTATGTGCCAAAGTTTATCCCAGTATTTGCAGTATTGACTCATTTTCCTTAAAAGTAGTATTATCTCAGTTTGAATACCACTTCTTTGGGACCTAATGATACAGATACTGTCATTCACAAGATATTATCTGGCTGAAATATAAAATTTATTGTAAGTTGTTTTTTTCCCCGCCACATCATTTATTCCAGGTAGTGAATACTTTTATTTCCAGAGCCTGTTTTAGATGTAGTCTTTTAAACAGATTTTATTTCTAATCTGAGGAATAAATCAATCAATTCTAAACCAAACCATAAATCAAACCCATCTCTGTTTAAATACAGAAATTCAGTGCTTGTCATTTGCATAGTTAAACAATAGTGTATTCTTCAACCTAATTTGTAGTCTGCATGGGAACTATATTGTAACAGTAACTGCAGGTTTAACATTTGTCTACTATAAAATCTCAAAGGATAGTTTGAGTAAAAACTTTGAGGTTAGATGGCATCTTCTCTCAAATAGCTAGGAAGCAGAATGCATAGCTTGCCTCTGGATGCCTTATGCAAATTGCTCATTACTCCCTAGTCCTATATAGTGTTCTAATAGATCAAAGCATCTACCCCTGACCTATGAGAAATCATCTTTCTGTGCTTTCTCTAAAATGTCCATGGAAATCTGCTGTATGAAGGGGGAACAACTTTTAAGTTTCAGCTTCCTTAATCATTGAACACGTGCAGAATTAAGTTCAGAGTAAGTAGCATAATATACTAAGACTGAAGGTGGAGAACCAACTTATTAAAGGACAACCTGTTTACACCAAAAGGATGTTGAGCCATATTCTGTATTTATACCATTGTCCTACAGGGGGTGCAGATCAAGTTAAATTCAAGAGCTTTTATTTAACATTTGTATGTTTTACTTGAATGCAGAAAAAATATTTGGAAATAGTCACTTACATTGTCTCCATCTTATCTGATACTATTAATAAAATAATTGGGTATAATAAAAATAACAAGCCAAATCTAGAAGGCTAGTCTTTCAGCAAATAAAGGAAAAATTCAGGAACACAATTTTACAGAGTATGCTGCAGGTTTGGGTAGTCATAGACCCTACTTTTGTCAATGGCAGTGTTGATATAATTGTGTTGTCGCAATCCACAAGTTAATAGTTGTTTTGAAAATGTTTGAACTTTTGCATGGTATTTACAGGGTACCATCTGTGAGGTAGGTGGTATGGCACCATATTCACTTGAAGTTGTTTTAAATAATAAAAGCTGAGGTTTTGTCAAAACATTATTGGTAGTTAATGTCTTCGGATCCAACATGCAGGAGAACACAGGATTGCCAGGATTTGCACAGGGAGGCAGTGAAGCAACCTTGGCTTTCTCCATTTCAGAACTTGATGATAGCTTCTCAGCAGAAGTCATTTTCTTTTCCTAATTAAGAGATAATTTTAATGAGTTTCATTTCTGTATAAACACAGAACCAAATATTTCTGATTTATTATTAAGACACTATTAAACAATCACAGATAATATTCGATATGTCACAATACACTTAAGAATATTATTTTACTTTGGGAAGAAAATGTGCTTCTACAACAGAAAATTAGAATTTGTTTACTTAGTGCACTGAATCTAGTTTCTGTGGTGTTATCACTATTTAATATTTTGAAATATTTAAATAATATATTTAAAAGGCCATGAATAAGTATCATGGCAAAAAGAGGGTTATGCAGTATGTATCATCCCATGCTTATATTCTGACTCATTCTTTGACTTTGATAAATATGTAAGACCTTTTCCTAGTGTATTTGATTTTGCGGTAACTGCTATGCATAGATGTCTACCAAACTCTTGTTAGCATTAGCCTTCTTGGTGACCGCAGCGGTGTATTATGGGTTCAGTAAAGTAATGCAAAGTTTCACTTGCACTGGGGGAAAGAGGTTGCTACCAGTCTAAATATGAGTGTTAATTATGCATATGGGAAAAAGGGGCAGGGCAGAATTTTGCAAAGCTCTGACCTAAGTTTTAAACTTGCTAGTAAGTGTCTTGACTCCAGCAAAGTATTTTAAATTAATCTAGGAAACTTTACTTGCTGAACTAGTTTCTTATTCCATGAACTGGAAAGGGTAGAGGAGGGCTTGCTTCAAGTTTCTTTCTCTGGAGATTCTTTTCTGCTAACACAATAGTGAGAGAGAGTAACATTTTTTTTCAAAAGAAATTTTAGAGTGAGTGGAGGATTGCAAGCACCTTTTAAAATCCTGGAATTTTAAAAAATGTCATACCTTTCTTATTTTGTTTGATATAATTTGACTGGCAAAGACTCCATTCTAGTGTTAAGAGTATGCTATACAATCAAGGAATCGCAGTTCATTAACAATAACTAGTAGTAGCTTAGGAGATGGTGGCTGCTGTCCAAGGCACCTGTTAGCTTTAATTGCAGCATTTAATAAACTTTTATTTATTTCTAGTATTCATGTATTTTCCCTTCTCAAATAAGAAAATTGAAGAGGATAGGTTTAGTTATTGAACTCTGGAATGACTCTTTTCCTTTGAGAGAGAAGTTTAAGATAGAAGCTAAATTTTTCTATGTTGTTATAATAAGTCCATAATAAGCTGGCCAATAAGCTTTTTATTAGGCATCTAGGAGACAGATACTGTAGATTAGGGGTGTCAAACCTTTGGCCATGCTGTCTGGCCCTCATGGCTTGTAGAGGGACTGGGAAGTCGGGGGCAAGATCATGGCCAAACTTGGGTACGCAGCCCTGCTGGAGATGCAAGTGAGGACTGTGATAACTCCCACAGCTAGCATGGTGTCTGGATACATCCTGCTACGAGTCCTGCAGCTCAGATCTGGGCCAGGGAGCAGGTGAGCTTGACACCTGCTGTAGATCCTTTTTTATGGTAAGAAATATATTTCTATACAAGAAAATTAGAGGGAGTGTGTTTAGCTACTGGACTAGATCCAGAGTTCCAGTTTTGGATCAAGTTCAGAGCATAACAACTGCTGGAGGTACTAGTCCTTAAATGAGGTGTTTAAAGCAAGATTACATCTGGCTGTCATTAGTGGAAGTTTAAAGACCAGGCCATATTTGGGCGGGGGTGGGGGGAGTGTGTGGGCGGGGAGAACTACCTTGCAGCATGGGGATCTCCGGGGTGGTACACATGGCAACAGCACGCACTACTCAAAACCAGAGTGTAGCTGTCCAGAGTCGCATTCCAGCTGCTGACCAGGTTTCCTGCCTCAGCTGCAGCCCTGGAAGCCTCCCAGAACCACAGGGAAGGCTGCTGGGACCAGCACAGTTGCTGGGCCTAGCCTTCCCTACCCCAGCTGGGGCAACCTGCTGTGTGCCAGAGCGTGCATGGCACGGGCATTCCCTGGGGACAAGTAGCAGCGGCACATGGTGCGTCACTGCTACTCGTTTCTGTGGAAGCAAATGTCTGTGCCTGTCTGGTTGCACCCAATGTGTTGCTAAAACAGCCAGCTTCATTAAAACAGTCTAAGTCAGCGGAGAAGTCATTAGTGTATATGGTCAAAACTGTGTGGTCTGGAAGAATGACCATAAAGTTGAGAGCCAGGACATGAAATGCTGGCTCTACTTTTGGCTTGTGATGTAGCTCAAGTCAGCTTCTTTGGCTAACTTTTGACTCTTTCTTCATCTGCAAAAAAGGATGTTAATATTACCCAATTAGTTCACAGTGCTGTTGCAAATATTAGGCCTTTTCTACACTCCCAAGTAGCTCTTTTTCTGCAATCTATAAATGGACTGGTGCTCATCCCTAAGTATAGAGACAGAAAAAATGAAGTTAGCATATTGCTTTATTAGTGCAGCCAACAGCCTGCAGGGCCTATAGTGCTAGTGCTAATTGTTGTTGTTATTAATGTTGTTTTGTCTTTTTTTTATTACTATGCTGGGGCTAATTCTTGGTATAGACAAAACCTTCATTTCTATGCAGTGCTTTGAATATGTCAAACACTATATAAACTATTCAATTATGGGCCTAAGAGGTGGTCACCTTTACTTCACAAAATTGTTCACCATCAGTTTTTATGAAAAGTTCATTGGGAAAACAGCACTAAGATGATTGTTTAAAAAACTGATACTTATGACAATCGGATAACTCTAGAGGAGAAAGCATTGCTGAAATGTTTAAAGTCCAAACATTTCTTATAATATTTATATAAGCAAGTCCAAAGAGGGATATTTTTTCTCCCTAAGTATGTGTGTTTTAAGGACTCATTGATCTTTTCTATTTGTATAATCACTTGTTCTAGGGAGTCTAAATAAGTTGATATCAAGAAGAATTCTGATAGATGGTTTAGTAACTTTAAAAATTAGCTATATGCTGTTTGTCATTTCCATTATTTGACCTAAAAAATAGACAACATATTTTTTTAAATGTTTTGTCTAATTGCTCAAGGGTGGCAGAGAGAATATCTGACTTTCCCCTGCAAGGTTTAATTTTTGGTGTTCTAGTCCCTAACATCAATATGTATATTTGAAAGGGGTGGGGAGAGTAACAAAGCCCCAGTACTCTTCCAAAACAAAACTTCACTGCACACACTTCTGTCTGTGGGAAGAGGGTGAGAAAATAGGCATCATGCGATAGGCATTAGTTTTATCACTTAAAATGCAACTGGAAGGTGCTCAAATGCTCTCTATATGCAATTGGCAATAAGCCTGTAATAAAAACTTATGAAGACTTTTGTTTGTAGTTTTGATTAGTGCACACCTAGAGGTCACTAGGTTGGTAATGTGCTGGTTTCAGATTGTCACTTAGTAACCTTAAAAAAACACCAAACCAAAGTTTTTAAGGCAAAATAAAAAAGGATAGATTTAAGTGGGATCCTGTAACTTAAAAATTGAAACCACATTATTACCTGTTACTTATAAAATGATTAAAACTGAATTCACTTTCAATATCCCATTGACTTATCCCTATTCTTGTTCCTTTTAGCATTTCTTTCAGATCAGCCAATAAACTACACTGAAAGTTGTAGTTTGTGTGGCCACCTTCACTGTCAAATTCTCAGAGCTGCACTGGATGTTTAAGAATACCTGTTCTTCAATAATGAGTCCATCTGAATCCCATTGCTGGTTGGTATGCAACTGCAGAATCTTTTAGCCATCTCTCAGGCTGTGCGCGCCCCACATGCCCTCTTGCCTATTGTGAAGGTATAAAGTGTGGAATAGTCCCATTTTCCTCTTAATTCTCTGGTAATGAGTCAGATCCTCTTTGTTAATTTGTTGTTTGTAGTTACTGGTTAGGGTAGCTGTCAGCTTTTGGTAAGTGTTTAGCTTGCTAGCTGCCACAAACTTGTTTTGCACTGGTGCCAAGACCTGGGTCCAATAGTGCAGTTAAAATCTCCAGGCTTTACAACCTGTCCTGTTTACAAGACTGCTATGCCTGCTAGTGAGGCATGTCCTAAGTATTTGTTTTGCTGAGGGGGGGATCCCATGTCTCCTCTCACTGTTTTATCATTAATTCCTTTTTGAAGCACTTGGGGATTGTGATGGCTATCAAAACTGTTCAATGCTGCTCTGATGAATTTGATCAGGTTATTCCTTTGTAGTAATTTCCTTCTTTGAAGCTGGTTTCCTAAAGCGCTCTGGGAACAAGAAAGAATCCATTTGCTGGGAGAGAAGATCTACTGGGTCCGAGAGACTCATGCTCTAAGGTGGGCACTGAGCCCTGTTGTCCAACCCACTTCTGGATAGTTAGTGCAGGAGTGGGTAATTATTTTGGCCAAAGGGCCACTTTGGGAGTTTTAGTGAGCTGTTGTGGGGAGAGGGGGTGGGCCAGCCCGCAACAGCTCACTAAAACTCCCAAAGTGGCTCTGCCCCAAGCTCAGCTGGGCAGATGCAATGGGCCTATGGCTGTGAGTGGGCAGGGAGTGACATCTAGGAGTGGGATGGGTACGTGTGGCCAGGATGGGGATTGCTCAGCCATGGTCTGCTCCCTCGTGCCCCTGTGATGGGTGCTGCCAGTTTCATGGGCAGGGGCATGCGGGGGTGGACTGCGGCTCTGCCCCAGGCCCCAGCCCTGTTGCTGTCGCTGCCCAATGATCCCAGGTTCTCCATGAAAACTGGCCAGGACCCGCATACGCAGGGGTGTGTGGTTGGGGCCGAGGGCAGGTGAGGAGCAGCATCCAGGCATGGGATGGGCTGGGATTGGGATTGTGAGATGGTGCCAGTGTGGGGCTGGGGCTTGGGGCAGACCTGTGATCCACTCCTGGCATACCCCTGTGCCACAGCTGGGGCTGCCCCCTCCCCTCCCCTCCCCTTCCCTTCCCGCTGGCGCTGAGAGACCCCCATGGGCTGAACAAAATCCCTTGGCGGTTGGATTCAGCCAGTGGATGTATTTTGCCCACCCATGAGTTAGTGGCTAC